ATTGAAATCAAATTTTAACAAAAATAATTATAGTAAAAGTAAATAATTGTCCCAAATATGTTGCTAAAAATTAAATTTAAAAAAACAGGTGACATGTGAAAGCAATATGTAACAGAAAAGTGATTAGTTAGAAAATTGTTAGTTAATAAACTATAATAGTTAGTTACATACATTTCAAAGATATAATATACTTAATACAAATTATTTTCTTAATTGATAATTTTATTGATTGAATGATTGATGTTTTATCATTGTTATATGCACTATAAATTATACAATTATATTTTCTTTATACTACTTCCATACAATTTATTATTGCACGAAAATCATATTTACTACAATTGTTGCTATTATAAGAATAAAACTTTCATTTTAACTCTTATGTAATAATAAATCAGTCTATTCCAAAACTTAAATGCATTCTAGAAATTCATGTGACATAACCTCTTGTAATAAATTTAATGAGGAAACAGTACAATATTCATAGTTTGTTTCTTACTTCATAAATTCATTCTACTATTCTTTTACATTATCATACCGTTTAACTTATTATTATAAAATCTCCAATACATAAGAATAGTTAAATAACAAGTAAAAATGTACATCCACGAATTGAAGGTGCTGCCTGCAGTACAGTTTCATCGAAGTGGTAAAACCAAGAACTTCTAGATTTCGGAAAAATGGAGGTCATAGCTCGATCGAAATCGTGAATACGTCTTGTTTAACAAGAGTTAAATCGCGTGATTCTTTTGTGGGATAACTAATTTCTAATATACCTTTTTGATTCTTGGTATTTTATTTTCTTCATAACTTCGAAATCTAAAAAGTGAAAATCAATTTTTACGCTGTAAAATGCAGGAGAGACGGTACACCTTTATTGTACGCTTTTCTTGTTTCACTTTTAAATCTATAACTTTTATTGCATTTTCAAATATACTACATATTTAAAAAAATAGTTGTTATATTTAAAACAATATTCTTATATATAATATTTTAATTTTTTTAGTAATATCTTGAATCTTGCAATAGTATTTATGTCAATTTCTTTCCTCTATAAAATATCTAATTCTCCTACTTTTTTATAGACAATTATCATATTATATGATTTACAAATTGTATATATTTCTAATATTTTAGTATATGTGATAGTAATAAGTTTACATAATTTTACAATGCATTCATTCTTACAGTTATAACGAGATAATATGCTGGACGTATAGCACTCGTACAAAATGAAATCAATGAAATCAAAGACAAAACCGAAGAAGTCAAATGGAAAGTTTGGAAGAGTTAAATTCCCTTCCAAGGAAGTTACTCCTATAAACCCAGATTTATCACAATTACGTCCACCAATTGACATAAGTGTTTCAACCTTATATCGAGTGTGCAAAGTTTTAGAAAATGGCAGTGATGAAGTTAGATCTATTTTGGCATATGAATGTGATTTAGTATATGAATGTCGCATATGCAAAAGCCTCTTTAGAAGTTTGATGAATTTTATCTCTCACAAACGTATTTATTGTAAAGAAAAATTTGATATCACATTTGCTAGGAATTCTTCCAATGATTATGATATAGTATGTTCTACTTTATTACATTTTTAAACAAAGGCTAGATTATCAAAAGTACTTAATTTTATACCATAATTTAAAAATTACGAAATATTTCATGAATTCTAAATCAAATTTTATATTTCATAAAGTTAAAAATAACCCTTCAATATATATATTCTAATTAAAGTTGTAATTAGCCATATGTTGCAAGTAGAGGGTTTAATTCATTGCCTTATGATCTTTTGAGTTGTATCAGCTATTTGATGCTGCATTATTGTGTTAGCCGAAGAAAGGTGAAATAATATAGATAGTGATAGTCAAGTTCATTTCAGCATTAATGCTAAGAAATGAACTCTGTGTTAAACATGATCTTAATATCTGCATTCTGCAACCCACCTCTCTGTTATATACTAATTTACATTCTAATTTAAATTTAAATACTAATTTATATA